ATTTAAGAAGGGAATTTCCTTTCAAGGTAGGAAGAGCAGGGACAGCTCAGAGATTAGTAAAATCAGGAAAGATGCTGTCACACATACCTCACTTGCCTGCCACAGTCTCTTGGATGCTGGCAGAAGACACAGTACTCCTGGGCCAGAGACAAAGGACTTTATTACTTACTGCATAGCAGGCATCATGAGTTCCATGTTCCCATCAGTGGGGGTAATGTAGAGCAGCCCATGTGGATACTGCATACCCAGTAGGTTATTGTCACAGCTCAGGAACCTGAGTTTAGGAAATTCCCAGTTTTATAAAGTGGCTGCTAACAAACCTGCTCCAGCTTTGCCTTGAAAGAAGGCATTATCTTTCTTGACCTGATCAGTAAACAAATCTGACGGACTCTAAGTCATCTGATGGCTTGCACAATGCCTGGCACAGAATATGTCCTTAATATTTGATACATGGTTGTAAACAATGAACAACGAATGGCTTCCCTAATGTCTAGGAGAACGCTTAAACATCTGAAATGTAGTGGACAAAGGTTTCTGTTTTTCACAAAGATCCTGAGATAATTCTTATCCATAGAAATGCAAATAAAGTTGCCTGGTAGGGTGCAATTGATTATTACCTTCTATGTTGATCAGCATACCCCTTGGAATCAAGTGTAACATCTTACTGGTCCCCTTATTAGCTAATGGGTTAAAATAAATTGTTTACATGTGTTCATTTCATATTGTTGTGAATCATGATTTCACTTCTTTGAAAAATTAACCGTAAACAGGAACTTATGCAGGTTGTTTATAACAGATGCTATCATGTCACCCACATTTAATCTTCAATATTTAAAAGGGAAATTTTCAGTTTAATATTTTAAATGAAGCCTAAGGTACATTTTCTTTTCCTTTTAGCTTCAGACAAGCTTGACTGAACCTGTGATGTTGTCCAAATCCATCTCTCTTCCTCGAAGTGCATATTGGCATCACATCACACGCCAGAACAGCGTGGGAGAAATCTACAGTTTGCAAGGTAAGTGACTTTAAAATAGTCGGACAGCACTCCCATTAGCTTCCTTCCTGCTGACCAGGAGTCATGCAAATTGCCTTCATTTGCATTGCTTGTTTTCCTCCCATTTCAATGTATCAGCTGTCACAGGCCACAGTGGGAGCCCCAAGGTTTACAGTGACTTTTTTAAAACTATCATTTCATAGGCTAGTGGTAAAAGAAATTATTCCAAAAACCATCGTGTGGGCTGAGGACCCAGTTTGGCTCAGGAACTTGAGTAAAACGTTATACAAAGCACATTATCAGAAGCTAAAAGTAGCTCAGTCGGGGTCTGTTTCATACTGTGTTTTACGAAGGATTTCTTTCTTAGTATCTTTCTTCCTTAAAAGGATTGAGTATCAGTTCAG